GACTGAAATGGGCGTCGGGAAAGATGAAGTCGGCGGGTGTTGATGGCACCGAGTCCCGTTCTGTGCTGACTGCCTTGTCCACTGCCTCATCGCACTCGTGCGCCTTTTAACAGCCGTCCGTGGCTCTTACTTCTCGCCCAATAGTCCAGACAAACGACGTGTCAATCAACACGCCTCGGTCTTCTGGTGATTTTTTTCTTATTCGCCCAAATAATTCTAAGAAATGTCTACAGAGACGAGTATTTTTGCGTTTTTGTAGCGCTGCGATCTAGTGGTCTCCGCACGAATCACGTAACTTTAGTGCCATCGCCTCGGTCGACGCCACAAGCTGTGTCACCTAATGTGAGGCCCAGCGGCTCAAGACATCCATGTGATGCATGTGACAGAACATCGAGAGTCTAATGTCCTGACGCCGCTTTTGACATACGCAGTAGAGGACTTAAATCACTCAGAAGGTAAACGTTTGTCGTTAGAATTGCCACCCCGTAGGATAATTATCGTTCTTTACGATTATTTTGTTATGTGAATCATACATGATAGCGGTAAGGGGATAATTCCCGTTTGTAGAATAATGTCAACTACAAATTGTCTTATTATATAAATCTATAGTAATGGAGCGGTATTTTGCAGAAACTAACCATGTAAATGTACAAACGTTCTCTTATATGACGCTTGGTAATACACTAAAAGATTGTACCCTTCAGAACAGCTCTCCTGAAAGAGTTCGTATGAGGTTCTCCCACGATATTGATACTAGGCTGGATTACTGGGCTGAGTAGTGGTTGTAGCCTGAAAAATCTCCAAAAAATGTAATAATAAAATAAATTTCAAAAAGAGTTGCGGGCAGAAATATTTTTATTACTTAATTTTAACTCTTCATCAGAGAACTATACGTTTAAACTTTCTTCTAATTTATAACTTGCATATTAGAAAATTTTAACATACAAAAATATTTTAAAACAGATTAAAACATCGACAACGCTATATTTAACTAGTACTTTTAATCATCACCAGATACTAATTTTCTCTCACAAAGTTCAACATAATTAAAGAATTAGTTTTTTTTGTACTTACATTAATTAAAACGGTTCTGACAAGTGGCCGCAAAGCAACCCACCATCTTCCCACCAATAGGATATAATTCTGGAATAACTTGTAACTTGATTTATCAAGGACCCTGGCTTCGTGACCAGTAGTTCTAAGCTTCAAATGTACATCTCATCTCTGACATTTTTCTAGACAACTACTCTACCGGAGGATTAACTGCCGAAATGATGCCTATTCATGGAACTAAACACATTCTAAATATTCAGATCAATACATCCAAAATGTACGACAGTTTTGAACTAATAATTATAATAAATTATTATTTCATATCTCGTGCGACAAACTCACCCATAACATCTTTCAGCACAACGCTCCTTGATTCGTGTTTGTATCGGTGCGAGCACGTCATAAAATCTTCAGACTTGGAATGTAGGGCGTGGTACTCTGGAGTGCAATTTTGTCCCTTTTACAAGTCCACAAGAATATACACTTGTACATCTTGAATAGTAAGCTTGTTTTGAATCTCGTATTATATTTTTATCTAATAGTAGAGTTCATCATCCACTTTGTTTTGTTATAACTAACATTCCTTATGAACCCTTTGAAAAGTTGGATGATAGAAAACATTCATCCCACTATTACACATTCTTTAATATTTGTTACAATGTAATTTGAACCACAACAAGCCTCAAAAACATTACCTAAACATTTTTATTTTAATATTTTAAAACTTAATGATATTCTTCCAATATAATACTTTATTATTTTATAGTCTTTTTTACCTAGTATTTAAATAAATCTTGAAAATTTTATATTAGAAATAGATTTTGTTATAATTAGTTAAATATAATTAAAAATAACAAATATTAGTTTTCTTGCCTCAATGTCTGTTTGTTGTCAAATGTTCAGATCAAATGCTTCAAATTTAATGCGTCTATTCACAACTTTATAAATTGTTGGGAGCGAATTTGAAAATATGATGAAATTAGTTGAGTGAATTTACTTTATAATTTGAGAACGTACGTTAAAGAGCACGCCCCTAAAGAATATCTGGCTTATTACTAACTCATTTGACGGTCTTCACATTTTGCATACAATTTCTACTGGTACAAAAAATCTTGGAGCAGTCCCAATACCATTTGCGCGCGGTACAGGTTTAAAATAACAATGTGATAGATCTTATTCTTTAACCAGTCATGAAACAACGACAAGTAAAATTAATCTTTTTAGTTTTGTTATTTATATTTCACGCTATCAAAAAGTAAAAGAAAGAGAAGTAATCGAACACTGTTGAATCAGCAACGATGCGACCATTTTTCCCCGTCCACCACCGCCCTGCGCAGTTTCACTGCTTCAATCGCACACAAATAAATTTCCCTTAAAGCATTTCGAAACTTCTGCGCAACTTTGCAACAAACCGTTTCGAAATTCGTCTGAATGCTCCTCGCAGCTACCGGCCATCAATAACGTTCCTCCGTTCGGAGCAGCCAAAGTCGGTTGCAGATTTATGAACCTCGCGTGAAGAAATGTATGAAACGCCGGGAAAGAAGCAGGCACGCCCCTTTTCTTCGCGAGCGAGGGAAGAAAAAAGCTGCATCCAATCTGCCCTTGCCAGTCATGGAGGTATTCGTATTCCCCGGGCGACGCGGTGCGGAAGGCGCGGGCGGGGGTGGGCGGGGGTTGGAGATCGATGGGGTGCAGCGGACAGGGGCAGACGCCCTTCGAGGCAGGTGCCATTGCGACAGCAAGACACGTCTCTGCCGCCGCGGGACCTAAAATGCATAAACGTACAATGTAACCACACGATTTGAGTTGTAAATCGCAAAATGGCAAGTTGCTTCTGTCAAAATCGAGTCTTCAACTGATAGTTGTGCACACCTGGAGCCCAATTCAGAGCCGAACAAAATGAGCTGGCGGGGTTTTCAGATAGATTTGGTGGAGAAGGAAGGGACAGACTTCCGTCATAGGTGCTATTCGAACCAAAAGACACGTTTCCATTGCCATGCAATTTTATTTTATTGGACTAACTGCTGATACATACAATTCATAAACGTGCAAATTAATTACAAGGCTCGATGTGTAAATCGCAAATTGATGAGACGCTCCCGCTGAAATCAAGTCTTCAACTGAGACTCGTGCACATCCGAGGCCCAATGATGCGTAGTCAATCAGAAGTAACGCGGAGAGAGAGAGAAGGCAAGAGTGAAGACTTTGAGGTCTTGGTTGGTCAGTAAGCTAACGGGGATGAAATTCAATTCAATTCAATTCCGTATTTTACGTGAGGACACTCTCAGATCATTAAGCTTTTTCTTTGGTCTCACCGCGCAAATTCCCTTTCTCTATCTTGCTGCGAAAGAAGATATA